GTGCATAGTGTTTGAATAATAGGTTTGGGTTCCAGTATATGTATGGACATTGTATGTACTCATCTTTCACTGATGTCATTGATGTTATTTATTAATGTTATTTAAGTTTTGAATTATATAATTATTTAGCTGTAAAAATATATATAATTCAATATTATTAAATGATTTAACAGAAATAAATATTCAATAAATAATCATTATAAAGAAGAAATTATTTTAGTGCAATGAAGTTTTCAATAATTATACCTATCAATTATGTTTTTTATGAAATTTTGGAAAATTATTTACACGATATTTATAGTGAAATTTTGATAAAAAAAAAATTAAAATAGAATACAGCTATAATATAATTGTATGATTGAAATATAGAGGACTTTACCAAATTCGATGAAGTAGTAGTAAATTATTCGGTATCACTTAGTAACTGTTTGCAAATTTATTTATATTGCTTTCATAATCTCAGTCGATTCAAATTCTATTAAGAGAAGTTATTATCTATTAAGTAAACTCGATTATTAATGAAGCCATATCTTATTATCCATAAAATTGATTATGTATATTATTATAAATAAAGTAGCATATAAATATAACTTGCTTCATAAATTGTCAGTTGATATAATATATTTAAAATACTAAACGTATAAATGATTATAATGAAATTATCAAAAGCAAATATGGAAGTTAATGGCTATAAATAAACGTTTTTGTGTTATTAAAACTATTTAAATATAAATTAAAATTCTGAAGCATAAAAAAATAATGAGAAACTAAATTTTACTATGTAGGCATAATTTTTGCATAAAATTTATGTCCAGAATCTTTAAATTATTACTGAATGAAGAAAAATTATTTGAGTTTACAGTAATAATTTCTGTGATTATAGATTTATATCTACATGATAAATCTTATTATTAAAAAAATTATCTTTAAAATTTTCAATAATGTAAGTTATCATCATTTTAAATTACTTTAAATTAATAATTTACATATTTTTTAAACAAAAGGAAATATAAGAAAAAAATTACATTTGATTCGTGGAATTTTTCATATTGCATTTCTAACGCTTTAGTTTGTTTTGTACATACCCAAGAATATTCATTCTCAAAGAATTTTTTAACAGCCAATTTTTTATATCAATGGCATAATTATTAGCAGTAATATAATTACAGTGTCAAAAATATGTAAACAAATAAAAAATGCCCATTTACTAAATCTAAAATTTATTTTTTTTGTCTGATTAAGCATAAATTTCTAAATTTTTAAAAATATTTAATTATATTCTATTCTATTAATTTGTGGATTCTGTCATTATTTTTATGTCAACTTTCTATTTATAAAATTATAATTTGCTAAAACTTATTTAATTGTAATATCAGAATACGCAGTAGTATTATTTTATTTTCAATATATTTTAAAAATGTCTTACTCTCAATGTTTGACAATATGCAGTGTAAAAAGTTTGTATGCATTCTACTAATTTAAATTAATATATAATAATATTTTAACGCTTTAATACTTTATTACTTTAATACTTAACGCTCTTAATATCAGAATTACAATATAAATTAATAAAATAAAAAACAAACCAACTATTAAATGCTTTAGCTTATCTAAATATCTAGAGTTTATGTAAATAAATAAAAATTCATAAATTACTGAAATTATTCTTATTTTTAATAATAACTAATGATTTTTTTATACTAATTTCTACATGCATTATTAAAATAATTAAAGTTGTTATTAAGTCTTTTAAAATTTCTTCATTAACATATAGTAATTTAGATATTTACTTTATATAAATTTATATTTCAAGAGTTGAAAGAAAAGAAAAAAACCTTTGCTCGCAATGCTCGCAAAAAATCTATGACAAAATACTCGTGCGTACAATCAACTTGTGCTGATTTTCATTATACGATAGAAAAAGAAAGCAAAGCCGAAGAAATAGAGAAATTTAGAGAGAGAGAGAGAGAGAGAGAGAGAGAGAGAGAGAACGAACGGTAGGGAGGTAGATATAAGGATGAAACATAAGCTTCTCAAATATTATTACTAATCTAAAGAGTTACATACTATATATCAAAAAAAAATAAAATTTACAAAACTGCTAGTCATGAATTTATTCAAGCTTTAAAATACGGCTGTAATTCATAATAAAGCTAATTAATTTATTCAGGCTTTAAAATAATGCTATAAAAAATAGTGTAAACAACTTAAATATAATGATGTTTTAAATATTGTTATTCTATTGTTTAATTTATAAAAATTATATTACTAAATTAATAATAAAGTGTAAGAACACCAGCTTGTAAAATCAATTATGTAAGCTGATAATTTACACAATAATGTTCCTTGTACTTCTTACTAGGAAAGAAGCCCTCTAGCAGAAGGTGTCTACTCAATTTAACAACAATCTCTTTCTAATGCTCTACCGCCAAAGCTCCTCCAATTGAAGAGTATTCAAAAGCATCCAAGCGCTACTATTGCATGAGCCTACAGGTTGTTGCTACACCAAATAGATGGTTTATTTATCTAGATAGTTGTTTATCTAGATGTAGCGAAGTTAGCGAATAATATATTTTTAATAAATGAAATACGCAGTCGTGGCTACTCAAAACCAATACCGAATGTTTCTTAATATAAATTCGAAACTAACCATAATAGCCATTTCATTACGAAAATTCTATTCATAAATAATATAAATGCAAATTTTTATAACGTGATGAATAATAAAAGGCCGACTATTTATATTAATTACTATTGATCGAAATGTGTCAGACATATTATTGAGTAAGCCGTATTTCAGCTACCAAAACGTTGGAATATGTCCACTGTGCTATAATAAATCGATATTGCCACTTTTCTCTTTTATATAATTTTTTAAAACAATGTTTTATAAACTTGAAACGATAAGACCGTCGAGTAAAACAAAAAAATATATCACATTTTTTTTAGAAACCAAAAACAAGTCACTGTATGTCTTCACAAATTTATATTAAATAATTCGATAGAATTTTACAATCTTATTTCTCTCGATAACTATTAACTGTATTTAGTAACTTTTTAAAAATTGGAATTTTTTGGGTAATTATTTCATAGCTAACATCGATCAAGTACAGCTACAAAAAGTGTTTTCAAACCTCGAAACAACAGAGAACGTAATATTCGAATGTCATCGTTTGTGCTTAACGGTAAATGCTTCGTATTGTTAGGAACCTTAAGGCTAAAATCAAACCTTACCACCTCTTCTCCTCCCACCTGACAATACAAAATTAACGTGTGTACGTCCGCAGTCTCATAATATCTACTTTCGGCAATGTAACTACGTTTTCCAAGCGATCATATTCTTTATTATTATCATCGTAAAATAATGTGGAAATACTATTTTCTATGACATTTCAAATATTTTGTTTTTAATTTTCAAATTATTTATATATTTTTTAATTTCATTGAGAATTTAAATTTAAAGCAACATATCTAATATCTATTTAATATTTTAAAATATAATCATTTTAATTACTTTTATTTTTAGACTATATATTAATTAATAAAGTTTTATTGTGTAGATATCTTATGAAAAGAAACCAAACATTTATTTGTAAATTGTAGTTCATTAATATTTATGAAAATTATAATTTATCATAACCAATCAATTTATTATTAATTTTCTCATAATTGTTCTGAAATTGAATACTAAAGGATGGCTTTAATAAGTTTACTCCAAGTGTGCATTGCTATCGATATTTACATTAAAATTTCCTGTAATATATTTTTAATGAAAATATTGATTTACTTACTTAATAATAAACTAGGCTCGATTTTAACGTGTTTTAAAATTGTGACCTTTTAAAACTATTTTATTAAATTTTCGTGATAAGTTTATTGAAAAATTATAGAAGTAAGAATCTAATTAATAATAGAGCAGATGCTTCTAATTATTATCAAACAAATTTATTATTATTATATTTTTTAATATATCACGTTATATTATTTTTCCTCGATTGGATTGTTATTCCATATTATTACTTATTTTATCACGAATTCACATGTTTTAAAAATAGAATACAAAAATAGCCACAAGTAACGTAACAGTAGTTCTGTGTTTGAATTCCTCTATTTTTAATGAAGATATAAGAACATTACAGACTAGTTTAAATTCAGCAAGAAAAAAAGTTAAGGCTTTAATGACCCTAGATATACTTAAAATAGGACTATCTACAAGTCACAAATGCTTGTAAAATAATAAAATAAGATAAGACACAATATTCCATAATTCAATATTGACAAAAAATTGATGTTTAAAAAATGGTTTTGAAAGATGAAGACTGATATAGATGAATTAGTATATGCATTGGTATATTCATGTTTGAAAATATACGTCATATTTTACTTTACGTCGCACCTAAAATTTTTAATTACTTATTTCTCAAAAATGTAAAGTAAATATAATAAATTTTTCAAAGATTCATTTATGATTTAATTAAAAAAATTTTACACTTATTAAAACAATTTTAATTATTTTATTTTTAATTTTGTTTTTAAAATTAAATAATAATTATTATGAACAACGGTTTTTAGCACTTACAAGAACATTAAAAATTCATTCTACCCAAAAAATTGTGTTTTAAAATCAGAGAATTTAATATATTTCACTTCATTTTCGACAATCTCGATTAAAATGTTAATATATACTTAATATCCTAGATAACTTACGTTTTACTGCTATAAATTTTTTATTAAAATTTTAATATAATATTTATAATATTTATAAAAGTAGATCTAACTTTATACTTTCTAAATACTTTGTTTTCTATTTTTTAAACTGTAAAAATCCATTAAATAGAATAATAATTTCAATTTCTTTTAATTAATAAGAATAAAATATATTAATAAATAAATTACATGTTAAACCAAATTACGTAAAATTATAAGAGATAAGAATATAATTTAATTTTCTTAATTACTATATAGATTTGTTTTAATACTATTTTAACACAACAATCACAACTTTCTGTAACCGTTACATAAGATAAATTTAACGAAATGGAAAGCGTAGAATTTTTAAAAATTACATTTCAACAAATCATTTGATCAAGCAGAGAACATCATCAGCCGATAAAGTAAATTTTCAAAAAGGCGTGTCTATTCAATAATGACAGGTTCAAAGTGTTGATACCCCCGGGTTCATTGTAATTTACAATAAAATAATAAAATGAATAGATTTGAATATATCCAAGCTCAATTAATATCAAATGAAAGTAATATTAGACGCGACCGTGGAATCAGACTTTATGATGGAGAAGTCAGGGTTCGTTTATTTAAAACTTTTTTTAACATAACCTATATAAATATAATTTTTCTTATTTCTTACAATATTTCATAGTGACGTCTATTGTTACCTATTTCGTGGTGTATAAGAACTATTATGCATGTAAATATATATATATATATATATATATATATATATGTATAAATAACTAAAAGTTTTTGTGCATGATTTCTTATAAACGCAAATTATTAATTTTTTGTTTTATAAATGCATTAGTCTTCATATTTTATATTGTTGTTTTTGTTATTCATATTTTTGGAACTATTTCTTACATTATAGACTATTTATGAGGGTGGTGAGGTAACACTAACAACTCATAGAATTATTTACAAAACAACAGATGATGTCTCTTTTGCATTACAACTTCGCTCAATTATATTTTTTGAAGAAGAAATTCCTGGGGCTTTGTTTTTCACACGTAGTAAAAAAGTTATTTTACATCTTGCTGAACCACCTAGTGGTAAGTATTTCAAATATTAGAAATCAATAATATGTATATGAGGATAATTATGTATATAAGGATATAAAAATTAGATTTTTTATTTCGACACAAATATTACGTATAAAGTATTTTTTCATTATAGAAAATAATACTTCAAAATTTATTTTCATTAATAATAATATAGTGTTAAGATTTTGAATCTACTATAATAATTTGTAATTCATTCATTTAATTTAATCTAAGTTTAATTGTATTATTTATTTTATAATTAGATAAACTAACTGGCCCGGTTAATACAAGTATACACAATTATATAAAATTATCGTTTAAAGAGGGCTTTGATCCACTGTTTGTTATACATTTGAGTGATGTCTTAACAAAAAGACTTTGGGAAATGGATCCTTGTGTGGTTCCTTGTACAAGCATACAGAGCCTGGTTGGAAAATATCTTAATTTTTTCATTGTTAAATTTAAATAAGTAAAAAAATTTTTTAATTTCTATATATTTCATGTCATTTATTTATAGCAGGATAAAAGTACGTTCAAATCACTACCTCCTATTAAGCCCAGAACAGGCATCATAGGAATTGAACGTAGCCTTCAGGAGCAACAGAGAGCTACAGATGAAAGTATAAATGTTGCCTTCCAGGACCTGAAGAAACTCATGGGTATGGCAAAGGATATGGTTTCAATAACGAAAACAATATCAGCAAAAATAAGGGTGACTTTTTGTATGATAAAGCTCACTTAAAACATGTCGGCTCTCATAATGCGAGAAAATTACAGGAACGTCAAGGAGATATCACAGAAGATGAGACTGTTAGATTTAAATCATATCTGATGAGTTTGGGCATCGATGATCCTGTGACCAGAGATGCATATAAAAGTAGCAATGAATACTTCAGACAACTCGCCCGGCAACTTGCTGAAATTTTAGAGGAACCGATTAAAGTGCGTAATAAAAATACATTCAACACTTAATTTTATTTCATGAAAAGATAGATTGAAATTAACATCAGTAAAAAATTGATTTAATTAATTTTACACTAGAAATTAAATTCTTTTTTATTAGGAAGTAGGTGGTATGATGGTACTCACCGATATTTACTGTAGAGTTAATAGAGCAAGAGGTTTAGAACTTTTATCTCCTGAAGATTTACTTAATGCTTGTAGACAATTAGCATCAATGAATTTACCAATAATATTAAGAAGGTTTGATAGTGGTGTTATGGTTCTTCAGTCTCAGACCCATAGTGATTATGAAATTACAGAAACAGTAGCTCAACTGGTAAGTAAATATGTAAAAATTATATTTTTGTTCGTATTAACAATAAGTATATATACTTTTAAATTATATTTTAATAATTGCAGATTAAAAACAAAGGATCAGTGACAGCAACAGAGTTAGCACAGACAGAAGGAATTCCAGTAGTTCTAGCATGTGAAAGGCTTTTAATGACTGAAAAATATGGTAAAGCATGTAGAGACGACTCTATAGAAGCATTGAGGTTTTATCCTAATTTGTTCCTAGAAAAAGATACGTGATAAAGATAGAAAAATTAGTAAATTACTGAAATGCAACTCCTATTTAACAACTATGGTGCATTGTATTTAATAACAGATCAAATTAATGTTTAAAAGTATAATAAATTAGTATATTTTCAAATAATTTTTTTAAGAAGGAAAAGTTATTGATTTATCTTGATTAGAAATGTATATTGTATTTGTAAAAGATTGTTAAAAGCTTTAAATGTAAAAAAGTATTTATATACAATAAAAATACAAAATGTAATAAATAACTGGCTTACAAAAATTGTATTTAGAAAAGGATTTAAATTTCTTAATATAATATATAATATATATAATACCACTCATAATAGTTTAAAATCAATAATTTGCTTAAAAGTCAATTTATATTACCACGAGATTACTTTTACATGATTCATCGTTGAAACAATAAATATCATCTTAGATATTAAATTTAGAGTGATAAAAAATTCTTTGTATAATAGACTATTAGATTTTACATATTTATTAATGTTATCAGATAATCGTGTCAATAATTATTCTTCAATCAATTTTAAAGAAATTGTAATTGTTATAATAATAATCTAAAAATATCTGAGGATTTGATAAAAGGCTATTTTAATATCATAACTTTTAAATTAAATTTCGTTTCACACAACAAAGAATTAGATTTAAATTAAAGAAACAGCAAGGAATTTCACTTTAATTAAATAAATGTTTAAATCTACATTTATATATTTTTTTTCAACTATTTATCAACTAAAAAATATAGACTTAAAACGAATTCTGTTAAAAAATTAAAATTTCAATTTAACCAGAATATTGATTTAATCGTAACTTCGTTAAACGTAAAATTTTTTATCATTACTTGTAATCATAAAGTGTCAGCTGAAACAATCATAGAAGAGGCAACAATTTTTTATTCACGCGCCCATTTAAATTCTATACCATTAGGGCAATTACATTGAACTTGTACATTGGAGCACAAAAGATTTTTATTCATCTTTGGTATGATTGGCTGTTCGTCTGGCCAACCCGCGTCCCTCTTAGATTCAATCTTTAATAAACGCAATCTTCTTCGTAATTACTGATAAAAGCTAACTCTCGCTTCGAAACTTAATTATTCAAGCGGTCACGACATTCCCATTCTAAAGTATTAATACCAATGCACAATGGTTCCTTATGGGATCTACCGAAAATTCATTGTTCTCGACCAATATATCCAATACAGAAACATCAGTACAAGTTTCATTGGCTCGGTACGATCACGTGCCAAGCGTCTGAAACGTCCATTGGCCAACACCATGCGCAGCCTAATCGGTGGTGGGGCGCGGATTTGTAGTCGCGAAAGGGGTCGAATATAATATTTAACAATATCCCCTGTTCTACCGAGCTGTTGACAACCATGTTTGTTCGTAGGACTCAGTTACAAAGGAATAGTGGAGAGGTGTCGGTGGGTTCGCGTAGCGTCGGGTAGTAGGCGAGAAGAGTGTAGTATAACGTGAAACAAGGCCTGTTAAGCGAAAATAGCGAAGGTGAAGAGGGTATATGAGCAAAAAGTAAGAATCATTCGTTTATAATTCGTCGTCGTTTTTAGCATGTTAATTTTGACATTTGCCTTTTATTGAACGGTTATTTCGCGAATCAAGGAAAATAACAAAACAATAAATAAAACTAAATACTAATTTTTAACTACTAGGGCGTGAGGGAGATATTGTTTTTTTTTCTCCAATTGTATGCGTGTTAAGAACCGTGCGTATTCGCTTGCGTCCCCTACTACTCATTTAATTTTCCTACCTTTCCATCTTTCTCTGTTCAGGGGAATCCAAGAAAAACAGACGCAACGGCGCTGCCATCTTGGATCAAGTCATAAGCTGGAATTGTTAGAAGTGGCGGAACGTAACAGAGAAAGAGAGAGAGAGACCAATTTACATTTCCGAGAATAAAAAAAAAGAACGAAAGACGTTTCTCGAGCGACTTTTCTCATCGCGAAAAATCGTTATTTCGAGCAAAGGTTTGTCTATTATATAGACGGCTTTTTTTGCGTCGAGGGGTGACCAAAGGTCACCGAATGTGGCAAAATTCATCCCCAGTGTTGAAGCGCAGTGGGAGGACAATAAGCAGACTAGTGTTATCTACTATCTGTATCCAGTCATCTAAATCCGCATCATTCTCGTTTTACGATTTCCTAGACAAAACGAGGTAGCAGCAACTAGCTATTTGCCTGTTTTTGAAATTACAGGTGAGTGCGCTTTCTTATCTTCTAGCAGCCTATGTTTTTCATTATAGATCGTCAATGGAGCCCCCTCTCCCCACTTCCCTTTTACGAATAATTTAATGTTCTGAAATTTGTTTTGCGTATATTAAACTGCTTATCGATTTTTTATTATTTTAAATCAATTTGATCTTGAATGCATCTTTGCTGTCGGTATTACAAGTGTGTGAGTTCACATGTAACAAAACAAAACACGTATATATTTTTTCCTTGTTTCCCCTACCACCGTTTCAGGAACTCTGGCGGAGTTTTATTGCGCAGTTGTCTCGTCAACATCCGTCTTTGTCTGTTTCACGGTGCAAGGGGCAGTATCTCTCTATTCTCCGTGTTACATATAACGTCGGCCGCCCAATACAAATAGCGGTAAGTGAATATTACGATTATCTATTTATTACTATTATCCAATAAACGCATCTTACCATTTTGTAATTTTAAGCGGACTTGTAGTTCACATGCAAACGTTTCCTTTAATTTTCTGTTTCGATAAATACAGAGTTTTTTTCCAATAAACTTATTGTAATTTTATCATTTTCATATAAAAAATAATCAACCCATCAGCAGCTTTATAATAAAATTTATATATTGAAAGTAATAATCAAAATATTAATCAATTTTTTTAATGGCGATAATTTATGTTAACTAAATTGTATTATTGAATGTTATCTATTTGAAATATGATAAATTATTATATTTTGTCATCTAATGCTTATTTTTCGAATATTTTAAAATAGTTTTAGTTCGTAAATTAAAGACAAAGTTAGTGCAATATGTTAGCAACGTATTGCATTCTATTTAAAATAAAATTATTTACATAATTATTTGTAACCAATAATTTTTCATGCAAAGTGTTGCAAATTCGTGCCTTATAATAAAAAAAAATGATAAAAAATGCATGTTGCTTAGTAAGCAACTTTATTTTATGTAGTTATAAAATATAGTGTAAAACGATTGATTGCCCGAATTTTCAACATAAATTTAGTGTAATGATTATTAAACAAAAGAAATTCTGTTTGTCTAAATTTATATCTTTTTTTTTTTTTTTTTTTATTAGTTTTTAATTTTATAAGACCGCGATGTTGAAATATTGAGTTAAATTCAACGTTTTCTATAAACTAAATATCATTATACCGATTTTTATTTATTTCGGTCATTGATGTATTCAAATGCAGTGACATTAACTCGATTAGAAACAAAAGGAAATAGAAGAGAGAGAGAGAGAGAGAGAGAGAGAAAATAAATGAAATTAAGTCTATCTTGAAGTTTTTTCTCTACGACAAGGAAAAAGAATCAATAGGTTATATTTCAATTCACAAAGGAACGATTTTTCTGGGTAAATTTTTCATAAGTTTCCACGATTGCATGTAATATACATGTTAGCGAGTCTTAAAATTTATTATAAATCTCACGAATTTCGGTAAAGCGACATTATACACAATGACCTCAATAAGAAGCTGCACTCGCTCGTATTGCGTAACATGAGAAAAAGATTTTTAACTACGTAGTATATATAATGCGATTACATTCTTAAACATCGAACGAGTGTAACCCACAATTCAATCAGTCGACATTTCAATGACTAATTATCCTATTGCAAATATCGGCAAAGGCATAGCCTCACCAGGAATTATAGAAAACGTAGAAAGTTCATTTCGAAATCGGGCGAATGTTTTCTAATTATGTTTTTATCCTTTAATCACGTACAAAGTCGAGTGAACAAGATTTTATCCGTTTGTATAATTTTCATAATTCAAAATAAACGAACGTTGCATTATGCTGGAAAGTGTGGTGCATTAACATGAGTTACCTGTCTTACTCGCGAGCGTAAGAGTTAAAAATTACCTTGGCGCAAGTTTAGTTCTTTGTCTATTACCAAAGCATGTTCTGAGGTAAAGTATCAATGTTTTTTACATAAAAATCCCGTTGCAATAAAATCAGGAAGTTGGAGATGACATCTTAGTAACTCGGCATTTAAAAGAATAATAGCTATGCGCGCGCTTCGTAAACATACTTGAGAAGAGAGAAATCATCTCTTTCGTGCTCGCATGGGTCGCATTTAATATCATCCAAGTGAAAGGTGGATAAGCGTCTAAAGGAAAGCTATGACGGTTCGCTTCGTGTAGGCGCGCCAACGACTTTTGAACGGCTAGTATTGGTGACTAGATATAAAAGAAGCCCCGGAAAACGTCTCACGGCATCTGCTCTCTTTCTCTCGCTCCTCTCCTTTGCCAAGCTGTTACCGTGATCTGAAGGGCGGGGGAGAGGGTAGCGTCGTACTTTCTAAACTGTCCCCGTTGTTGAACGCCGAGCTTTCACAAAGCCCCTCTCACTCGGGAGTAACACAGCTGGGTTCACGGCTTCCTTCATTCTCGGTAATCCCAGTTCTTGTCTAACGGCATTGTCGGACATGTAACCACGACTGTAGCTCAAGGGACAAATCGCATATCGCGCGATTGGAATAATAATAATAAATAAAGATAATACTAGTAAGCTCATGCGGCCACGGATTTTATGTAAATGCTCGTTGGGCTTATTTTATTTAGCTTTTCTTGAGTGGACCGTTGGCACTGCTTACATTGTATAATATCAGGCATCGTCGTTCTCGAGTTACAGTCTTTAAGCGATAAAATGGTAGGAAAGCGAGGCTCATCTCTCTTATCCTCTATTTTAGACGGCCCTCGCAACAGCGTTTTCCAGTTTAACATCCGCTTATTACCAGCTTCCGAGCCAATATGACAAACTCAACGCCCAAAAGCAACAATAAGATCGAGCGGCAGGGTTCACCCAACAGTCATGGCAAGCAAAAATCGCCCGGCCAGCGTAACTCAAATTATGTAAAGACTGTCACGTACTTCGCCAGTAGCAACAACACCACAAACGGCAGTGGCGGCAATCCCGGAAGTGGAGGACGCAGCAGTAGATCTTCCAACAGCAGACAGAGTTGCAGCCCACCATGCAGCTCCACCAAAAGCATTCCTCGCAGCTCACCAATGCGCTACGAGAGCCCAAGGTGGGTGCCAATAGTTGGTTAAATTAATAGTAATAATTAAATTTAATTAATACTCATTCATATTTTCAAAAGCATTAATTGGTATTGAAATCCAATGCATGCTGTATGTCATGATTCATTTGAGGAAGAATCTAGCATATATGGAATATAGGATATAATAGATGATGCTTAATATATTTTTTCTTTTCAAATTTTTTTTTTAAAAGCCATCAAGGCCAGTCTGATTTAGTATCAAATACATTTGAACATGCACTACTCTGTTTGATATGTATAGGGGCAGTCCAACGAACAGTTTTTATGCTGGGCCCAAGTTCTCCGAGCCACCATCCCCTGCCAGCTTGCCGAAACCACCCAGTCATTGGACTGGTCTGGCAATTGACTGTCAGAGTCAAGCGACTAAGTCCAATCATATTTTCCAGCATTTAAAAATGATCTTAAACGTCCAGGCTTGATACAAAATAGCGAATCCAACAGCAGCAGCTATGGCATTGGAGTGCATGAGCCCTTTAAGATTCAAGAAAGTGAACTCAATTAAGCACACCAGTGTCATTCGCTAAAAGTAGAAGTACTTCTAAATAATATGAAGAGGTGCGTTCTTTTATGCATCAACTTTGTACGCAGTAGTGCAGAAACTTCTCGAAAGGTGTATTTGTGCAAAGGTGAATTTTGTTTGCCGTCTTCTGCAAGAGACGAACTGTATTTTATTTGTCGAAGGTCACGTGTGAGGCTACTTTAAAGACCTGTGATTTTAATTTGTAACCAAAAGAAAACAAGGTAATCGAAGAAGGCTTTTCAACAGGCTGCTGATTGTAGAGGTTAAGTAAGATCCATTGTACCTAAAATATTGCATTAATATGACAAACAGGAGAGCACGCTGAGCCAACTTACCCTGCTAACTGCGTTTCAATAACTATAATGGCGTTTAAGATACAATCCTCTATTCGCAAACCGTGTATAAATATGTAAACATGTATTTTAGATCGTCGTGTACTATTAAACAAACACATACTATACTTAACATACGATTATGAAGAGACACTAGACTACACATACACAAATTTTCACACTACTATTTGAATGAAATGGCACAGCTGCACAAGGATCTTATTTTTTAAATCATGAGCTTCAATTTTTCTTGTTAAAGAATCTATCTTTTCTTTTTTCTACGTAATAATTTCGCCATAATTTTCGCCTTCTCTTATATTTCGGTTTCATGGCGAATTAAAAAATGTTTCTTTTCTTTTTAATTATTAAAATTAAGTTGAATTAACTCGACCCAGTGAACGTCTCGCCGTGTGAGATGTTAACGGTATATATTACGAACTTTTTGCGACGTATTAATATAAACCTTATGCCTTTTGATCTGCCTTAACGGCAGTCGATTGGAGTGAGACAGCGAGCGATTATTACAAAGAATGAAACAAAAATAAATTTTAGAATCATTATTCGAGGTATCAGAATTAATGAGAGAAAAGCAATAGGAATTCGATGGACCTTATTAAGAAATTAATAGTTTACACGTTCGATTTATATAGATTTAATGTGAAAGAAAGATAGGAGAAAGTAATTGTTTTTAATTATATAAAATTCTTGCGACAAATCACCAATAGTTTAAAGCAACGCGTTAAGAAATCGAGGGAATAGCAAACAAAAATTATGTTGATCCCTTGTAATTCTTGGCGCGGCTGACCCATATTTGTCAATTCTTTTCTTATTTTCTTTCCTCTTATTACTATTATTATCTTGTAATTCTTGGCGCGGCTGACCCATATTTGTCAATTCTTTTCTTATTTTCTTTCCTCTTATTACTATTATTATTATTACTATTACTACTACTACTACTACTACTACTACTACTACTACTATTAATTATTATATTAATTATAATTATTAATTATTATTATTATTATTATCCAGTTTCTTTTTTTAATTAATCGTTAAGAATGAAGAGTATTTTTACGATTTTTTTTTGTTTTTTGCGCCAGGCTATGCAACTAAATCTTTGCAAAGCTTTATACCATGCGAGTGATTTAATCAACACACACACGTACACACACGAGTGCGTGCGCGCGCCCAAATACGCATGCATGCATGCATCTACACGCATCCATATAGAGTATTATTATCAAGAGATGGGTAGAAATCCTTACGATGAAACAAGCAGCTCGTTAGCGTTTCATTCTTTCCATTGATAAATTTTTCATTTAGTCTTCTCTGAAGCCAGATTAATTATCGTATTCCTTTCTACTAAGTTTATACAACTAAAGTTCGATGTTCTTAATTTCGGTTTATATTGGGGTTAAAAATCAAATGGAAGGGGTAGTACCTGGTACTTTTGGATTATAACGCAAAAGAGCCAACATTTAATTTTCAAAAATTAAATTAAATTTCTGCTATTATTGACGTGGTATTTTTTATACTGCACGACGTATTACCTCTGGAATTTTTCCACATCTAAGCCGCAACCGAAATTGTGTAGAACTTTCAGCGTGGTTTAAAGCCACATAGATCTCTTAACCGTCATTCATATGCGTTCTGTTAGCCGCGCAATGAATAAGTAATTGACACAAGATGGAACGTAATATAGCTAATGAATAACTCGTACTCAATCTCGAACTCGGCTTGTACCACGTCCACCAAGTAATCTAGGTGTCACCATTTTTATAATATAAATGATATGCAGGAATGATATATTTACATTAAGTGAAACGCGATGAGTGGTGGGCCGTAACGATAGCACTTTTACAGTTTTCACTGATTATCGAGCGTTTGTTCAGATTTCTTACAACGATCGTACTTTGCAAAACTTTTCGCGTATTTTAAATTTTGAAAACGAATCGATTTTAATTCATATTTTTTGTTTTTTGTTCATCATGAATTACTATCGTACACGGAAAAACATTTTTATCACGAGCGAGTTTGTTGTGCCGAAGAAAAATCTCGTTACCGTAAATGTTTTTCGTTAGTTTGTAACGGCTCCCATTCTATCGGCATTTTATGTGATATTTAACGTACAAAATATCGTTCGTCGCATTAAGTTCGTTCAAAGGATCTTTGAACAAGCATAATTAATGATGTCCGAAATGCATACTAAAAGAGAAGAAAAAGTTTCAAACTTTTCAAAATACTCCGGGTGGCTTTTTTTACCTCCTATAAAAGATCTCTTTCTCATTTATTTTAATTAATTGTACCAACGTTTATTTCTTCTTCGTATTTATTAACCCCCCCCCCCAAGTCATTTTTATTGTATTACAAATAAAGGCTTACATTACACAAAGAAACTGATATAAAAAAAATTGTTTAACTTTCCCATTTAGAGTATAGACCTTCGTTTCTTTTACATCAAACACGAGATAAATTTGAAAATTTATAAATAATGAATTTTCCTAGCATAGAGTACTTTTGTCTTTCTTTTTTCCCGCTTATTAAGGAGAAAGCGAAAATTTATTGCACATTCGTAGAAACAAATAATGATATTAAAAGATAGATTGAAGCTCATTGATGGTATGAAAAAAATTAAAAATGACAATTTTTTATGTTGATTTTTTACTTTTATTTCTGTCATTTATATAAATTATAGCCATAGCCAACGACAAATAAATGTCTAATCGATTAATTCAAGAATACTATGAATAATATCTTTTTGCAGCTTCGCAATTTATAGATAATTGAGCAAGAAAAAATGCTGACGAGATTAAAGAATTTTGTGCTCGCCTTCGGCAGTTATGAAAGAAAATTTTAATAAGATCATGAGAAAGAGCATAGTACACGAGCATATATACACACACACATGCAGAAATACACACAGAGAGTCATACATACATTTATGCATACAACATACAGATATACATACAAAACGTTAAAATATCGAAATTATGTTTGGCAACAAACTACTCAAAAGTGACAGCACACGAAATGTCAAATAATTTTTAAGATCGTAGTTATTAAGAAAACCGAGTTTAAAGATTCCAAATAAACACAAATATAAGGAGGGAGAAAGTATTAACGTAGCTAAAAGTGATGTGCGCCAGGGTGATGCGCGACAATATTTGTACATAATTGTAAGGAATGTTTTTTTTGTAAATTTTTGCAAATTTACAATCGAGAAGATTTAGTGCTAATTTTGTATAGAAATGTAATGAAACATACAATCAATGAATTTAAGAATTGATTATTACGATTAGATAAAGAAAACAAGTCGCCCCGGCAGCTGCAGCAGTATATTTGAAATTTCAATCTAGAAATTTTAAATTGGAAAAATAACAGTAAAAAGTAAAATTTAAATTTTCTCCCTCTTTGTTCTAGAATTTAATTGAAAAATAAGATTTTAGTACTTCGCGAAAGCGTGCAGACGCGCATGAAAATGAATGTTTTGAAAATCAAAATGCTATAATTCAATTGAAGAAACTATGATAATAATTTGAAGTATAAAAAAAAATAACAGACGATGTCTATTTAAATACAATTGCGCATATGTTGATTATATATGTTCTGTGCGCATTCGCGAATGCGCAGCATGATGAAATTAAAATAGAAATCGATTTCCGGGCGTATTGCGAACGTCGCGTGAGGAAGCGAAGAATAAATGAAAGGATTGTTTGATTTCTGTATGCGTGAGGAGTGAAAGCGAAAGAGATCAAAGATAGAGAGATCGACGGCGCCCGGAATGCAAATATGTACATTTAAGCGTAAAGATAAATATGCGAGGTTGTTGACGCTAAATGCGAAAATTTTGCGCATGATTTTTCTCCCACCGTCGCGTTAATAACGCCCCGGTGGAACGTACTGATTACATTTTAGAAGCGAATGGAACAGATTATTAAACAAAATAAAAAAAACAATAATGTAAGCGGAAAATATAATTGTCTATTGAAAACACGAACGGCGATCTTTAACAATCGTTTCACAGATAAAAATAATATTTAAATTCTTAAAAAAGTGATTATGCAAGCATTCGAGGTGAAGTGGAGAAAAGGAACAATAGTAATAACAATGTGTGCGAATGCTTCTTTATTTACTGTAAGAATTATATTAACGGAAACTATTACTCGTCTCTTTCTTTAGCTTTATTCTAAATCAAATGAGTTTCTCAATCATTTCGTTTTTCAAATCTTTTTTCTCTTTTCTTTTTATTTTTAAAAAATTTGTTTCTTCGTTGACCGATAACATCGATAAAAGGATTAGTTTGTGCGGATGAGAGATTTTTTCTTTCCTTTGATAAGGTAAATGTTTGACAATATTTTGAATACACTTGGGAAATTGTTAAAATAAACAATTTTCACTGTGAAGAGTCACATTGGAATATTTTGTATCAGACGATAAAAAGATCGAGCATTCGCACTCCTATTCGCATTTCCAACAAATCCTAATTTCTTCTTTATTTTCATTTTCCTATTATAATTGTAAGCAGTGCGAATTTATGAAAAAATTGTTCGTCTTATTGTAAGCGCATTACAATACTGTATTATCCTATCTCCACCGATCGAGGCATTTTTACGTTTGTTTTTACATTTTAACGCGAAAGAGAATGTCAGCGAAAATGTTTATTTGTACGAAGAACGTTACATTAAATTTATATATATATATATGTATATATATATGTGTGTGTGTGTGTGCGTGTGCGTGCGTGCGTGCGTGCGTGCGTATAATTTTTAAGATGGAAGGTGATTTTTTTTTTGTTCTATCGCGTGTCGACGACGATTATGATAATGATAACGATAACGATTTGGTGAAAGATTTTAAAGAAACCGTGATCTGTTTCTTAAATCTTTTGAGAATTTTTGCAAGAAAAACAAAAAATAACAGCGTGAATAAAGCTTTAAGTTTTAAGCTATGAATCACTGTGATTTCCGTTCTAAGAAAAAACAAAACTCAATAATTCTTTAAGACTCTTCGAGTCGTTTGCGTGTCGGTGACTAAGAGAAGGTGTAGGAACAAAAAAAAATGAATGATTGGCGGATCGAAAAGAATTTATCGAATTGTAAATATATATACATATATAGAAATATATTGATTATAATGCGATTTGAACAGAAGAAACGTCATAAATATTGCAGAGAGCCTACGAGGATGTGTATAACCAGTGAAAATAATTGTGAAGAAAAGGAACGTATAAAAAGTACTTAATGTTTATTGAATTTGAATTTATGAAGTTGAATATTGAAGTCGCTAAGGGCATCGTTCATGTGCGTGTCCGAGCGCGAAGATTGATATCTTTTTTTGACATAAATACACGGAGATTTCTTCATTGTTTAATAAATGTCGAAGAATTCTTAATTCTCGTTCTTACGCGCTACGTGTCACATTGCTCGTAGTTGTTACTTAGATAGAAGGTTGGATATATAGTGGTGGCCTAAGCATGAGAAATTACTTCCCAGGATAGAAGAATTCATAAGCGATTATGTGGAGAAGGATTGAAAAGTGTGAGTGCGATGGATATGGAAAAGATTGGTAAAAAAAGAGATTTGAAAATGATTAGAAATTAAAGATGAAATATAAAGTAATGAAATACGAATGAAGCAGAGAAAACAGAACGAGCCGTCCCCGACACCAAGTGCCGACGAAGTTCAATGCAAATATAAAAAAAACAAGTTTCTGTAAATGCGTATTGGTTCGTTTTATAATACATAAGGAAATTGCGTATGCATTTCATAATTAAACACAATCATAAACACTCATCAAATATATTAATTACATACACAATTAAGAAAACATAATTAATGATAACAAATCACCACAGAATCATAGAAAAGAAAACAAACAGTGGGATAGCGACGCGCTTGCGATTTCTACGTATTGTATACGAAGAATTTTATTCGCCGCGATAAATTTAAACGTTAGAAGAAAATTGAAAAGAGAATAGAGTTGATGATGGAATTATAGTACGATTAATGAGGCAAGCCGTTTTTAAAGTAAGGAGACAAGGAAGAGAAGCAAAACATTCGTGTAAGACGATAAAAGGCGCAAGTGTTTTCAAAGTGTAAGGGCGTGCGAGCACCAAGGCAGCGGCCCCAACACCCGCACTGTTTTTCCGTCTGTGTGTGTGTGACTGTCAACACGCGCGTGTGTGTTTGTGTGCGAAAGCTGGCGAGACGAAGCTCCGAAAAAACCCGGTGTCGGCAAACATATATAAAAAAGCCAGCCGGGACCGCGTCGATCTGGTCCGGGTTCCATTAAATATGGATTCATTGGGCCCCAGTATAGGCGCGGACGGCGAGTCGTGAGCTGTATCGATCCGCCATCGTGTATACTTGTGTCCGACCAATATGACTATGACTATGACTATGACGATGACGATTACAACAAAGACGACGACGATGACGAACTCGACACAAACTCATGATAATAAAAATGAAAATTTGACTTTTTCCTTTTTTTACGGAAAGAAAAAAGCCAACCCAAAAAAAATTAAGGAAATGCGTATCATGCGCGATTGGACGCACGACTTTTGTTTTGTTTGTTTACATTTATATATATATATATGTGTGTGTGTGTGTGTGTGTGTGTGTGTGTGCAAGCGCGGGGGCGCATGTGCGTTGAATGCATGCATGCGTGTGAGCGGGGGAGCGATTGTACAATTAAAAGCCCGACGATGAAGAGATTCAGTTCGATAAATTGATAAAGAGGTGAAGTCAGGGCAATTGTGTGTCACGAACGATTTCTTTATTCTGCGCTAGAATATTGGAGAAGAGTTAGTGAAGTTGGTAATAGTGATGGGCGGCAGTCAAGAGTGTTTTCCAGAAGCGACACCTGCGTGCAATATTATTATGAAAACAAAAAATGTATTCCGTAAAATACGTTTCTATGAAAAGACTCGTGTCTGACGCAATTGGCAAGGGTAAAACCGAACGAATAAGTTTTAAGTGGAGGAACGCCGATGCTCGATAATAGAGAAGACATATATGGTGTATCAAGAGACCCCTTGAAAACCAACATTTTTTCTTCCATTTTTTTTTATTTCGAGCATACTCGAGACAATTCGCTAATATTATATTTGTATGAGCTCGTCAATGATAATCGACATATCTTGCGTTTCATACTAAGTGAGCCTTCGTCCAAGACACCTTTAGTGTTTTCTTTCTTTTCTTCAATTTCAACCGCATTCCCACCGACAAGTTGGTGGATTTCATCCATGCATCTTTACTCACCTTGGACAATTAAAATATTAATAGTTAAGTCGTTGCATTTTTCAAAGGCTCACCCTGTATATTATGTAACTTTCATATTCTGTCCTTACATATTCATAAAATTTGAAATATTAAAATTTAGAAATCCCTTTCACGTTATCCCTTTCATAGTTATCCAAAATTCCAAAATCCCTTTTTCCTTAGGGCCCTTTTCAGGGCCCGCAAATAAGTAATTATGCAGAAGCAAACTATTCGTTGCAATTGAGAGAACAAAATAAACAAACTGTCCTTTTCAGGACAAAAAGAACAAACTGTCTTTTTCAGGACAAAAGAACAAACTGTCCTTTTCAGGGCAAAAAGAACAAACTATTCTTTTCAAGATAAAAGTAATAAACTGTCCTTTTCAGGGCAAAATACTTAAATTTCAAGAATTCAATGTATTACATCTATTATTGGCATTGTACAAGGTAACTTAATTCATATATATACAATGGAATATTCTGGTAAGCTGACTAAATTAATTAAAAGTATTAAAAACTTTAATTCATTTTATTTGTATAATTATTTATTCAACGTTATACAGGTATATAGAAAGACTACGAATTTTAAAACTATACGATCTTAATAATTACTTTAAATTATTGTTATCTTTGATTTCATATATATAAAAATTATTGAAACTAAATTGTTGAAATTTTTAATTTTAGTTTCAAGTGTTTGCATTCAATTTAATTAATTAAAATATCGTTTAAAATGACGTTTTATATACATAATTAAAAACTCAAATTTATCATAATTTAATAAAAAAATTTGTATAAAACAGCTGATGAACGTAAAGTGTAACGAAATTTATATGCATTTTTTACATAAAAATAAATTTTATAAATAAACGTAAAATAAAAACAGATCGGTTCTTCAATTTTGTTTGTACCCTAATTTACAATATTATTGATTATATGCTTCAATACTAAATTTTTATTTTAGGACTAATGAATATTTCACCACAAGCTTTACACAAATAAAAGAGAACATTCAAGTTATTTGGTAAAAATGAAATTTCAAATAAATTTGGTTCCTAATAATTGTCATTTGCTTCGAAGAATATAAAATTGGAGAGAAATAAAAATTACTTAAAACTAACATTTCAGAATATTGATAAAATTCTTGACTTTGGTTCTGATAAGTCAATGTTTTATGAAACTAAGAATGTCATTTTTTATAAAAATAAAAAAAATTTTTAGCAATACCAGATGTAAATTTCAGATTAGAAATTAAACAAAGATAAGTAACTGTTTCATTGAAAACAAAATCATGTTGATACAGTAAATTTTTGTCCTAGTTCGGAACACGTATTACTTTACAAAATATTTATTGAAAAAATGGATGCAACGAAATTTCATTTTTCTGTTTTTTTTTTATTATATTAAAATTATGTTCAAAAAAAAAGAAAAAAAAACATCTTAATGATTATTTTTTAAAAATTTGCACATAGCAATTAATTAGTTCATTTGGTAATAACAATCTAAAAGTTTACAGTATAATGTATGAGCCTTAATAAATAATGTTTGATTATACAGAAATTAAATATTTTTTAAATTGTCATTGTATAATACCTATTTAATATTAAATAATATATTCCCATTATATTTTTATTATACACACTAAAATAATTTAAATTTAAAATTCTAAAATACCAAGTATAATAAAGCACCATTGGCTTGTTTATTATTCCGTTATTTTAATTGAATATAACGATTAGTTATGACTTCAATTAAATTTTTAAAAACAAATTTTGCCACGAGAGATGTAAATCTTCCACCATAGAGGTTAATTGCAATTTTAACTTTCACTTCGCGTGATTGAAACAACCTTTCCGATTTAAAATAAACTTGACCTTTTATTATATAAAATGAAATTTCAAATGATTTAGTTTTAAACACACTGTTTAAAAATGCAACACATGACACTAATTAATAATGCAGTTACATAATTAAACACTTTCTTGATAATTTATTGTAAGAAAAATGGACAATCGTAATAAAGATTTATTGATATATTTTTTATATCTTTTTTATGCCAACTATGTGGTTTAAAAAATTGTTGAATTATTTTTTTACTTGTAGTATCCATTAATGTCTTTTAAAGTTTTTTAACAATCCATTAAAAATAATATTTTAGAATCATTGTTTCATACATAATATTGACATACAATAAATTGTATAAATTCGCATAATTAAATAAAATAAAGACTTGAAATAATTTAATTTTAATAATATCAATTAATCAATTAATAATCAATTAATTTAATTACAATTTTAAAATATTGTTTTCACTTTAATCACTTTTACATAACTATACCTAAAATAAATAATATATGCTTAAAATTATTCATTAATAAATAATTAATATCTTTTGTGTAAATAATTTTAGGTTTAAAAGAATCATTAGATATAAGATTAAAAAAATGTTTTATACTTTTACGTCATGTATATAAATTACATAACAATAAGTAAACTTGTATAATTACTTTAATGAGCACTATACATAATTTTTTTCTGACAATCATTTATAAAAATAACATAACTTATGATATCATTGTAATTGCGCAATCTTGTCTTAGATTAAAGTATTTCTCAGCAGTACTCAATTATACAGTAAAAACTTGTCATACTAATATAATTATAATTACCAATTCAATTTATAGAAAGATTGATAAAATTTCTAATTGCAAGATTATTTTTAAAAAATTATAAGAAAACTGGCATGCCAGTGCTAAACTGAAAATAAAAAAAAATAACGTGATAGCGCTGAGGGTTTAAGAGTTATCTTGAAAATAAAGTATGTTTACATAGATGATTCCTATAAAAAAATAAGTAGGGTGCGATCGACTTTCAGTGAGCCAAAACGGGAGGCTTTTATGGCTCTTATACGCAAATGTAAGTTTTGGATCATTCATAATCATTATACATTAATAAAATTAATTTTTAGATATTAATCTAAACGATCAATATAAGAATACAAATTATTTTATTTTAATTTAGTATACTCAATTTTTGCCTCTGCAAGATAAATTTGGATTTACTTTTATTGAAACTTTGTGTCTGTCAACGGATGTAAAGATCTCTTTTGTAATAAATATAAAGTTTATTAGACTTTATAATTTATATAACTTTATAATTTAGTAGACAATAAATTGTAAAAGTTCAAAGTATGGAACCTTTAATGCAATATTTTAATAATTACTTGGAGAATCAAGGTATAAATTCAAACAATGTTTTTTATAATATTAAAAAAAAATTAGAAAAATGAACAAAAATTTTTTCACATTTTTTAAATATATAATTTTTAATATAATTCTGTTGAATTATTAATTTCTGTATTCAAGTTCAAATGTTCGTAAATATATTCATATAAATTTTGTATTTAATTTTTACGAAATTTTTAGTTAATAAATTAACTCAGTATTTTAAACGTAATTTTTTTTTTATATATTTTATTAATATTATTTTTAAAAAAGTATAAATAAGTATGCAAATAGAATCAAAATAGTAGTTATTTTAAATAATCAACAAATTAATTTTAATACTTATAATTAGTTAGTATATTCAATAATAAATTAATGAAAAGTATTAAATATTTATTAAAATATCAATTTTTAATTTTGCTTTTATTTAATCATAATTATGGAATTAAATTTCTTGGTATTTTCCAGATTTCCAAATTCCCTCGAGTGTCTCCAATAGCTACCATTTCTCTGAAAATAATGTATTTTTTCATTAATAGCTCCATAAAATAAATAAATTTTATGATATGAAATATTCAGCGTTAAAAATATTGTTCGATTAATAAAACAATATTTATTTACCTTTTGGGATTAAAATTTAAGCAACTAGTATTTTCTCTACTTTCAGAATAAAGCATCATTTTTGTCAATGGGCGGCCATTATTAACGTTAAAAAATTTGACCTCTGACCCTGCACCGTAAGCCAAAAAAATGTTTTGATTACCAAAGTGCCATGTTAATTGTACAACCGTATTCTCTACAATAATGACCTTTAAACTTGCAGGCTGAAAATAGATTTAAATTTAAATTAAATGTGAATTGATTTTTATTCATTTAAATATATTCTAAAATAATAAATATTGTGTAGTCTTGAAAATCAATAGATTTTGAAGGATTTTTACTCTATTTCTAACAAACATTATTTAAAGAAGAATTTATATCTTTTATTTGTTTGAACTTACCTGATCAAAATTGTAAATGCGTATTTCCTTATCAGATGCACAAGAGACAAAAAGATTTTGAATTGGAGCACTTTTAACACATGTTACACTACCTTTATGTCTGTCATATTCGTCTACAACTGGATCAAAGATATTTTCATCGCCTAACAAGGAATATTCACAATATTCAAAATGTTTAAAATTTAATAAAATGATGCAAATATTAAAAAAAAATGAATTATATAACCTTGAATAGATATATCATTATCAATTCTACATTTATAGAGTCCACCACATAAAGTACCAACAACCAATAATGAATGATCCTTTGATGAGAAGTCAAAACATGTAATTGGAAGTCCAGCTTCTGACGCTCGTTCTCTACTTCCACTTGCACTTTGTGGTCTAGCCATTTCCTTGGCTATTTTATATCTGATGAGAAAATATTATTTATCTATATATATTTACAATACTTATGAAATCATAAGTGTTTAAAGTAAGATTAATTATTGTAACCAAAATTAATTTACTGCTTGCTTAATGTTGATTGTGTAAAATTAACTGTAAGTTTGTGAATGAAAATATATCCTTCTGCACTGGATGTTATTAGACTAGAAAAACCATTAAAAATTTTGAGGTGCCACTGTACTTGTGACACCAAATCACCATGTACACAAACTTGCAAAGGAGTAACTGAAGATTCATCTCTGAGATTCCATACCAAAACATCACCTATTTAAATAGAATATAAATTGATTAATATTATATAAATTAAATCAATTTTAATTAATATTTAACATAAATAATACTGTCAATATTTAAAATACCTTTTATATAAAAAACATTAATTTTTTTTTTATAAAACATTAATGTAATATTTTTTATATTCTTTTACCATTAAATAAGCCAGCTACAATAATTGAAGGTTCTTCAGGATGATAAACTAAAGATGTCACACAAGATGGAACTTCTAGAGTCTTACATGGTGTAGAAATTAACTGATCATCTTTTGAAAGATTATAAAATTCAATTTTTGTTAAGTCATCACACCACGTTACATGATAAGTAGCACTATGTGAAACTGCTAAAGTTCCACCACCAGCACTCCAAGTAACATCACTTATTTTTTCCTTCAAAATAATAAAGTTACATAATATAATAAATTAATAATGAATTAACTGTAATAATAAATAAGATGCTTATGTGATTGTATAAATTTACAATTGATTTTTCAAATTATTCTTTAATCAATATTAGAAATAATCAAATGATTAAATAAGTAACGATATAATTATATTATCATTATTTATAAGAAACATGTCTTCTAAGATTATAATTAAATTTCTATTAATCTGTAAATTCTATTACCTTGAAATCAGACATTACTAAATTATTTAACCTATTAACTAAATGAATATTGGTACAAGGTTCTCCTGTCCCACTTAAATTATAATCATTGAAAGCACTACTTCCATATTGTTCATCTAAAAACTGCATTACACCAGGTGTTACTCGTTTTAAAAATGTTGCTAATTTGTCATAATTGTACTGAGGGACTTTAACAGTTTTATTCACTGTCTGCGTCTAACAAAAAAATACATTTCAGCCATAATATAAATCTTTAAAATATTTAATAATTAAATTTCGTAATATATAGGAAATTACCTCAATATTTTTTGTTTCTATAACTTGAACTTCTTCGGATTCATAAACTACATTTTCAGTTTGAATATTTGCTGCTTTTTGAGTTCTAAAATACACATAGAAATATTAAAGGTTAAATTAAATAAATAAAAGTGTATAAAATTAATATCATGATAATTCTAACTTCTCGTTCGATATTTGAGGTTCAAAGCCTACAGGTTCAAATGATTTATCAGTAAACATGTTGTCTTGTTCAAATATTGTACAATGGTACAAATATAATATGAACAACAATTTTCCAACCTTACAGAACTTATATTTCATATATTTTATTTACATTAATTTTTTCCATAATAATTTAAAACAATATAAAACTTGTATATTACTATTATTACAGCATTATTTTATTTCCTTCAATCTTAAAAATTATAAAAATTATATTACGGTTCATTGGTGAAATTGCCACTTTCAGTTAACACAGATCTACACGCATACCACTGAATCATAAGTATTCCTAGAAATTTAAGAAATTTAAGGATTGAAGCGCCGCCTTTCAGTGAGCATATGAGATATATTAAAAGAGGATATGTGTCAGTCATATATGAAATAGATGGTACCTAATATACCGATACTACTTTTTCTATTTATTCAATTAAATTATTCAATTATTATTACAAATTTTTTATCTATTGTAACGAAAAAAAAAACTAGTAAAATATTAATATAATTGAAATAATTCAAAAATACACCTAATTAATTTACATTAATTGAAAATAATATTATTACATGATTTTTTACAAATTAAAGACAATTTGTATAGTATATTTATCCAAATTATTGAATGTGAAAAGTAAAAAGAAACAAAATTGAATAAAAATATTAATAATGAATTAATTAAATCAAAAGTAATTGAATAAAAGAGCTTTGTTTATAAGTTTTAATAAAAATTTAATTTATTGTTGTAGTTTTTTTTTTATTTTTAATAGTACACTTTTATTGTTTTCATGTCGAAGTATTTATAAAAATTGTTACATGATCGAATTATTATTATGACGAATAGTAGCTTAACAGATCTTATTAAAGTAGATCAATCATGTATACATGATTTATATAATATAATTGCAATAATTTTTATATTGTATTTACCATTTGTAATTATTTAAATATATATTTCATTATTAGCTACTCTATATGCCCAATGTTATTAATACATATTAATTAGTTTTTTAACTAATGATTATATAAATATACATTTAATACAATTTATCAAAATTTATATTATAAAATATTACAATAACGATAATACATGATATGTATTTTAATTTATTTAATTTCGATTTCGAGAATTAAGTTAAACTAAATAATAATTAAAATTAAATTAGATTTGAAGTATGTTTCTGAAATTTGGAAATAGGTAACTGTATGTCGATTGTAAATAAATTTGAATTAGGTATCTTATATAATCGTTTTAATTTATGTTTAATTTTTTTCTATAATTTATAAATTAACTGAAATAAGTTTAACGTATTTATGCAGATTTATAAATTGTTATTTAGTTTTTATTATCTTCGGAAGTAAAACTCTTATAATAACCTGGTAGATAGTATTGATTATAAGAAGAATAAATATCTGAAAATTTATATCCGAGTTCTACATTAAGAAAATATCAGAACTTAAATTTGTTTCCATCATTTATTTATATAGAATATTATTACCGTTGTCTTAAGTTTTTGTATTTTAGGTTAATTAAAAACGGAGTTGTAATAAATTTGTTTAGTAAATTGTTAAAACAAGCAATATAATATTTTTCATAAGACAAATAATAGATTACGTTATTATGTAATATATAAAAATATAAAAATTTAAAATTTAAAAATTCTATTGTTTGTTAACGACAGTAATTGATATTGTCAGTTTGTTTTGTTTAGTTAATTGACATTATATATTTATATTTTAAATATTTCTAGATTCTATGAATTTATTATAATAATTATTAAAAAATACATATATACTTTTTGCTAAAATACGCAAAACTCTATTATATAGAGTTTCTAAAAATCCTTTCTAACAAAAAACATAGACGCTTCTATCATTGAAAATTGATATATTTTTTGAAAAATTTTATTTAATTTTGGTAAACGATTTTGACTGAATGAATTAATTTTTGTGAATTTATTTTAATTTTCAGTATGTAAATTAAAATTGGTTCCAAATTTTTATAATAAATAGGATTTAAAATGTGACTTAGCTGTATTATCTTTTTGGAAAAAGATAGATAGGTTAGTCATATTATCTAATTACATTGTATAGTAGGAAAAAAGGGATTAATTTAAGTTAATTTTACTATTGGGCTTTCTTACTTTTATATTTGATATAGATTTAATAACAAAATTAATTGATTTATGCTATGCATATCACTATGTTTAGTAACATAAATATGTCTGAAAAAAATTTATATGTCTATTTATATATTTTATTTATTTATACACAATTCATATATATTGATATAAAGTATATTTTAATTTTTGTATAACATGAATAGAAAATAAAAATATCTACCTATTTATAATATCCAATAACCATTTATATTCGTACATCCTAATGCGTAATTAATAACTAATATTGAGCTAATTTTTATTTATATTAATGACTTTTTATATATCACTTTAGTTTTAATCTCTAAAAGTTAACTTAATTTAATGTTCAATGAAAGTATCATTGATAATCTACTATGGATAAGGTTTAAAAATAATACCTCATATATATTGTTATATATCATTATGTTAAGCATGATTAATATTATTTGTTGACTACAATGTTATATGAAAAGCTATGAAATTTTGTTCTAAAAATTTACAATATAATTTCGCATAATATAGGTTAGTTTGATCACTTAAATATTCAATAATATAGCGAATTTTTTAATAAAACCCTTCATTTATACAATTTATAAAGTAAAATTTTACCGTAAGCTTAAAATTAAAAAAAATTGCATTTTGATCTTTATTGGAAAATCATACACAGGACAGCTTCATTAAGTTGTATTAAACATGTCGTTACAGAAATCAAGTGCTACCGTATAGTCGACTTAATTAAATCTCCGGCCTCTTCCCATTATTATTTAATGCAGCCACAACTGTACCCTAAGTAGTATTGCAACATCTATTTTAGTTGGACTATTATCGTTAATTCATACTCTGATAAAGATTAGGCATTGCTAAAAATAAATATTAAAATGAAACTTTAAAAATATTTTTTGCGGCACAATTGAATATTCAAATTGCTAGTTTTTATTGCCCAAGTAAAAACACCATTCATACATAAAAATTTGGATTGTCACCTTTTAAAGAAATTTAAAATAAAATTAAAATCAATAGTCTTTAGATTAACAATAATATTAATCAATCTAAGATTATTTATGTATTTAAAATATTCACTTTGTTTCATGTTTTATGCAAAATACGTTTTCAGTTACCGTATATGTAATTTCGATAAAAATTTACATAATTTATTATAATTATGTTATTATATAGATTTCTACAACAAATTTTATTATTTAACTACTCACAAAGTTGCACATGTGGTACATTTTATAGGTTCCTGACATTCAAATCTTATTGGTTAATAAAATGAATTAAACTATCAGGAGTGCTCGACTTATATAGTGTTTTCAATCTTAATCGTAATCCATGTCCAGTGGCCAATTAAAATAATTAAAATATTTAATATAATTCAATTAGTTTTTTTTATTAGAAAATCTACGTCTTTAATATAAGATTCTTTAATATCTGAAAAATAAAAATTGAAATATTTATAAAAAGTATAATTTTTTCTACTGATTATTTACGAAGCACATTATAATACTTTTATGTTTTTGTTATAATGTACTTTAATCTTTTTTCATACACAGAATAAACTTGATTGTAAATCACCGATAAATAATAATAATTCTTTTCCATTTGCTAATAATAGTTCACAATTTAAAAAAGTAAAAGAAATCTCGAGAGATCCAATTGGGTGTATTATCACTGCCCTATGTTTGCAGTTTTATTTAAGTGAAGTACGAAGTTAACTCTTTAGCTCCGCCTCTATATGCTTCAAGAGATAGTATGGGACGGCCCTTATCAGACAGAGAAATTTGGATTAGGTTTTATTTTTCAAACGGTAGGTGATTGGTCAGTAACAAACAAACGGGGCGAGACGATTATTCGCACGAGGGTGGAGTGCGAATTTATTTATAAACGTTTATTAAAACGATATCCTTAACAATTGAAGCTTATTATTGAGACTTTTGCGTGTATTTATGTTTTTAATATTGTTATTCTAATTCTATTTTAAGTACAATCAGTGTTCAAAAATAAATTATAACTTTTAACAATATTTAATATTTATTTATAATTTAATATTTTAAGTTATTATTAATTTAATAAACCAAAAAAGTACGAAAAGTTATTACTAGTTTTAAAAATATGTTTCCACTGCTATTTATATGTAATTAAGTCAACATTATCTTAAAAAAGTTTTTAATTTTTCTGGAATTTAAAAAAAATTGAAGTATTATCAATGAATCTTATAACTTTTTCAAAACCAAGTTTAAACAATTTTAGATAAATTATTTTATTCTATCAAAGAAAAAAATTTAATATATTACAAATAAACGAATTTTTATTTGTTGGAAAAATTAATTATTTTCAAAGAAAATATTGTTTCTAAAATTTGAAATTTATTTTTGTATACTTTTTTAATTAATGTGAAATTTTTAGTAAAACTAATAGTATAAAAAGAATTGATTTTAAAACTAAGGGAACTATTATGATTTCAGGTTACATTATTTTTATTTAATACATATATATATATATATATACCCACACAAACACGCATATATATATAATTCAAAATTGTAAATGAAAGATTGTTTGTGAAAAGCAAACCTATTCCAGTTAAGTATGATATTTTTTGTTTCGCACTAACACACTGGTATATGTAAGTAAGAAATTTTATACAATTTAATGTAATCTTATATTAACAAATTTTAATAATGTTGAAAGTAGGTAAATATTTTTAAAATTAAAGTACAATTATAAATGTAATTAATTATATTTTATTTTATAAATTATTTTACTTAGTTATTATTTTTATGATTGCATTTTTACTCATTGTAGACTAAAAACTTTGAGATAAAAAAATTATTTGAATAAATTTTTATGTAGTTATTTATAATACTTATTAAATTTTTAATTTAAATAAAATTCATTTAAAATGTAAAACATTAAAAGTTTTATAAATAAGAAGAAGATTAAAATAGAAACCAAAAAATAGCAATTTAATTAGAGTGGTATATTTTTAGTATTTTTTGGGTAAAAAATTAATTTTATCCAAATAATTTATTGCTATTTTAATTTTAAAGATTAATGTTAATTTATCTTCCAATTTAACTATTAAAACTTATTACATGGGAAAATGGAATGTAAAAATAGAAAAAAAGTGAACATTAATATTTGTTAATATATAGAATTTTAATTCTCCATTTTATAACAATAAAAAATGGATAAATCTTATATTTGGCTTTGTAATTATATAAAGATCTTAAAATATTTTCTACGATTTTTAGTTGAGAAGTTTAATTGCATATATTCTGATTTGTGCTGTGTAAATATATTGAAAACTGAAAATTAATAAATATTTTTAATTGTAAATACAATATTAATATAAAATACAATTAAAACGAAATTTTTTAATGAGGCTCCTTGTGAAATAAGAAATACTTGTAGGAATGGAGACGATCTCTCATTGTGTTTCCATTCAAGTGAAGTATGAAGTTCAAAATAATTTAGACCCCGCCTCTGTAGAATTTTAAGGCATATTGTGGGAGGGCCCTTATTGTATTGATATATTCTGATTGGACTTTCTTTTGTATGTTGTTTACGGCGATTAGTCAATGGTAAGCAAGTGATGTTTATTATTTTAAAAAAGTTTTGAAGTTAAATTCTCTAATGCAATATTTCAACTTAATAATATTTTTAAGCAGGTTAACGACAACATGATGCATTTTTTGTATCATAAAAAGAGTATTTATTTATGTAATATCGATCTAATCATAATGAGTATTATTTGAAGGCATTTTATACTTTTAGAAGAAAAGAAATGCCTGCAACAAAGATGCAGTAGAGTACGAGCACATGTAACAGCGACATGATTTAAATTTTGTGAAAAATCTAGTGTTTAAAGATAATGATCAAGCTATTATTATTTATTAATCCTATGGTTACTTTTAATAATATTCTACATATATTATAACATATTATAGTATCTACTTTTGTAATCAGCTTTATACGACGCAATATAATAATACACTGCGCAGCTTTGTCATGGTATATGTACGCTAGAATTAAATACAGATTGGTTTATGTAGAATTATTTCGTAATTACAATTTACTACTAATTAAAAATGAATTGCTTATATCTTAAATGAAACATTAGTTTATTTATTAATACGAATGTAGTTGTTTTAAGATTGGCTTTAATATACTATACAGATTGATATACAATTAAAATAGTTATGTTTTTGCAATAACTAAATACATTTTAAAAATTATTAATCTGTTTTTAAACAATTGAAACATCATAACTAAAGTTTATTTTAACAATCTATAAGTATTCATGTATGTAAGTGAATATTACTCAAATAACCTTTAACAATTTATTTACCAACACCACTACATATGAGACTCTTTGATACTAGTAAACGTAAACATTTAGTGTTTTTTTTTCAATTGAAAACTTCGTTAATTACGTTAACTTATTATTATAAGCACATACTTATTTTATCTACAAAATTAGATGAACAATTAAAATTTACAGGACAGAATACAATATTTTGTTTAAAACGTTAGTTTCTCCACGAAATAATTTTTCAACGAATAGTCATTATCATACACACAAAGCATTTATCATTCTTTTCGTGTATATTTCGATATTCCTTTATAAAAATTCCGCGTAAATAGTGGTAAATGCTTGTATAACATCATAATTGTAAATATTAGCTCATACGTCTCACGTCATGATTACGAGTCTCGAGACTTTGAATACACATGCCGTATTGTTTTTTGTATTTTTCAGAAATTCATATAAAAGTAAATGAATTAAATATTAATAAAAGCGAATTTCTTATTATATTATTATTTTAATCATAAAAATTATTATGCAAAATAAATGTTTCGGGATTATCTTGAAATAAGTGGTAATTTTGATACTGAAAACAATCGTTATCATAATGATAATATGAAACAGAAAATAAAATCACATTATTGGCATTTTACAGACAAATGATCTATTATTATCTTGGTAAACTATTGAATACATTAAAGATAATATTTAGATTAAAGAATATAGATTAAATTAATACATAAAAATTAAAGCGATGGACATTGAATAATTAAATTTTTACAGTTTAAAGTTATTTTAACTAAATATTACTGTGAGATTTATTATTTTATCAGATTTAAAGTTGTAAGACTAATCTAATAATTTGTTTGATGTGATAAAATATAGAGAGGAAATGAATAAAATAAAAATTACTTCATATATAATATTTTTCGTACAACGAAGATACCTCCGTTTTTTATTTATTTAAAATTTTTTTTTGAAACTCTTTGAAATTCTTATATAAACGTACTACTTCGTTTTCTCAAAACATTAAAAATAGAAAATTATTTTAATTAAGAAATTTATTTAAATGGATTTTATTCCTCGAAATTTTATCGAGGTCTTACAGCAAAAATCGAAACAACTGTAGTTTAACATTTATGGTGTATTTTTTTTATACATTTATTGTTTATATTAAAGCGAGTTATTATATAAAGCATATTACTCACCTTCCTTTATACATTTTAATTTCATTATATTATGATACTATGAAATGTTTCGCACTAACCAGAATAATAGTTTAGAATTGAGAGTAGAAAATTTAGTATAGTATTGTTTATCTATATTTTTAAATTTCTTATAAATAGTTATATTCGGTGTTTATATAATACATTAAGAAATAATAGCATTAAATAAAATATGATTCGCATCAGTCATTAATGAAATAAATCTGCAATAAAAGAAAGAATTATAAGTATAGTAACGCATATTTTTTAAATGGAAGTTTTAAATAAAAATTTTAATTGTTTTTATAAGTGATAAACTATTCAAATTCATTTTATTCACTCTAAATGCAGAAAACAATAATAATTTCATGTTTTACTAATTTATTATAAAAAAATAATAAAATAATACATGCTAAATATAGTTACGAAATAGTATTTTATATAGATAGTCGACTAAAATATAAAAATTATAGAAAATTGTCATAAAATTTGTTTTACTGTAAGCGAGACCACTACACATTATACTTATATTAATACTTACAATCATCTCATTTTCTTACCATAAAAAATCATCTTGAAAAATACTTTTATCTTATTAAAACAAATGTTTTCAAAACTTAAGATAACCTTTATTCAGTGTCTTTCGCCATATACTATAATCAACTTGGAAAATAAATTTTTGTACTTTACTATTTTTCGCGATATACGATTACATATAGTAAGAATGCATAATTTTAAGACAAAAATATGTACATATTTTACCTAAATTAACAATAAAATTTTAGCATTTAATTATTTTTGGCATGAATAGGTTTTATACACAATGTTTTAATATCAAATATAATTCTTTTAGTTGTTTATAATATATATATATATATATATATATATGCTTATGTATAGATAAGCATTTACATAGTTCGTTAAATCTTATACTTTATACATATTTTAAGTAATTAAATTCATTTTTTTACTATTATTTGAGATTACCGTACTAAGAGATTTTTATATCTATATAATAATATTTGAATGTTAATTTAAAAGAATTACATTCATTACAGCATAAAAATTTTATTTTGACAAAATTAATAGCGATTAAAATTAACTGTAAAATATAAGGGTAATATCAGAGTCTGAGCGAAAATAAATTAAAAAATTATATCATGTTTGATTGAGATAAGTTATTTGATTACTTTAAATATATTATATCAAATCTCTATATTTAAATATACCTTATTCTATTTGATTTTAGTTATAATCGAAATGAAAGATCTTTAATTAATCTCTTTGCTCACATAAAATAGTGTAACATCTATAAAAAAATCTCATGTAAGTTTGAAAATGTCGATTATTAGCTGGTTTATTTGTGTCAAGCATGAGCGTCGAATGATTTATTACCATATATATATATATATATATAAATATGTATAGACATATATATGTAACAAAAATGAACATTTCAAACGTGTTATTTATTCATATTTTATTGTGTGATTATAACACAATTAATTATAACAAAATTAGAAAACAGACTACTGTAAAACAGTATATTCACATGAATAACTCTGATTTGGAACGAATAAAAAAAAGCTATAAATTTATTAAAATCGCTGATTACCAAAGACCGTTATCTATACTTAACACTACTCTATAGTATGTACGGATATATGTTAATATATATTTATTGAGCATGCAATGGCATATACGCAAGTATGCCCGTGTGCTTGAAAGTAAGGATGAGCCAATAGCAATAAGGCTCACGTGACTCTCCGCCTCTCGAACGTATGTGCTGTAAATCCAAGAGGGCATGCATGCATTCATGAAACGCTATCGCATAAGTTTGGATAAATTTGCGGATTGTATTAAGTGGATCAGTCATCGGTCTTGTCTGATTTGCCGCTTAAATGGTTGAAGTCTTTCATTTCACTGGCATCCCGACAGACAAAGGCCTCCCGATCACAGGCGAGTCCGATGGCACACGGACAGAACATCACGTACACGTCTTCCAGCTCTATCGTGGTCCCATCCGGGTAGCCTCGAGTACCGTTCGTAATGAAGGGTTCACCGGGTTTGCAGGGCTCGCCATCCTTCAGTACAGGTTCGCAACTCGGGATGCTGTACCTCTGGAATCCTGTTGACACGATCGTTAAGTCGTAATGCTCTATCGTTAGATTTGCTTAAGCAGTTGTAAATAAATGGATACTGGAAGTGTAAGCTCTTCATCATAATGATAATTAGTAATGATAACCCGCTGATGAGAGCAAGGTGGAGAGGCGGAGAGAGGAGAGGGATTAATGGGACAGTACTTGTAGCAAGAAATACTCGTTCGTTTTTTAAAGACATTGTATCATTTGTAATATTGATAATTAATGATATATATTTATATATAGTAATTAAACCAAGAATTTAAAAAGCTTACAAGCGAATGTTTTGTACATTAAAGTTCTTTAATTTCTAAATACTCACAATGTTTTTAGGAATTTTATTATAAGATATATTTTCTTTATTCGAATGTTTATTACGTTTATTATATTTATTAGCTTTGGTATATATTATAACAGCAGTTCGTTATGATATTTCTATGTGCATTTATGACTTTTTAGAATGTCAAAGTATGGTTTCTCTAAATGCACACGAAACACTTAATAAAAATCTTTTACTACTTTATTAATATTAATTTTAATCATATAAAAAGTTTTTTAATATAAAATTGAAAATAGATTCATTTTGTTGATGATTTCACCAAAGTATTATTTATTTAAATTACTAATTTGAAACTGGAAATATTAATATAAAAAAAGAAAAAAATTGTCGGAAAATATATCATATATAAATAATTTAAAAAAAATTTTTTAACTTTTCTTTCTCTTGAACTGCATTTTTGAAATTATTTATATATTTTAGTACAATAAATCTTAAAGAATCTATTTACGTACATACGTATCGATGAATAAACATGGGACTTTTTTTAAAAAATGAAAGTCTTTTATAATATATGTATTCATTACATAAAAATGAAATGTATCGATAAGTACAAATAGTACTATTAAATAATATTTAATAGAATTATACAACATTAACTTCTATCTACTATTTGACTTTAAAATTATACAATTGATTTTGAATTTGCAAAACCCTGTTAAAAAATAAATGGTAATTTATTAATAATGCAATATATTATATATATTATTGTATTAGAACAAATAATAATAAGGGGTAAACAGAAAAAACGCTAATTTTACGTTTATCCATAAGAGACAATAAAAGGATTAATATTTTATAAGTTCAATATTTTTATAAAGCATTGTGCATCAACAATATGAATTTTATTTTATTTTACCTTCTAATAAATTATTTAAAAATTCTTCTTTATAAATATATGTGAGTTACGAGCAGTCATGAAAATGATTAAGCCTTGCATTATGACACATCGGACGCGTATCTGGCGAGCTTTTATTGTTGCTGATCGGCATCCATCCCGTGGCTTTTAAAGGGTACGTCTATAATGAAATAAGCGGCAGCATTCCCAAAGCTCACGCACATCGTTAGCCTCATACAATAGCATAAATTTGAATAAAAACAAATTAAATAACCGATTGTACGATACTCGAGCGATCTCATTGCTCGATGATGCTGTGATTAATTTAATACACATTAATATAATACATATTACAATAACACAAAGCTACGTACTGCGTGGTAAGCTTTAACGATATTCGCGCAGACCAGGATCGTCCAACGATCTGGATTCCATATATCAACGGCTCCCCATTCTATAAATGAATCAATAAAATAAAATAAAGGAAAAACGGCCCTACCCATTCTGCAGCAGTACCCGGGCGCACAGTGCAGGTTGCTGGTGCAGTGAATCCATGAGGGGTGGCCAGCTCGGACATCCCTGATGAGTATCGCAGTGATGTGGAACAGCAGCAGCAGTGACAGCAGGAGTCTCGACATCCTCCGTGGTGTTTGACCTACGTCTGCCTCCGTCGTCTGACGCTCGGCGGATGCACGATCCCCGGCCCTCCATCGTCACCCCACCACCCTTCCGCCCCTCCTACCACCACCTTCTCCTCCTCCCTATACCCGGGTAGGTGGGGTGGGGTGAGACGGGTGGGGCAGGAGGCCGGTGAATAAATTTACGGAAAAACTGGTGCTACTCTTGTCGGCGCATCGGGATCATTGCCTCGATCGAGGAGGAGGCGAGGGGAGGCGAGAATGAAAACGCTTTTCCGAGCACTGGCGAGCACCTCTTAATGTTAATTACGACGAGCCTTAGTGATCGAGTTTTAGCAATGAGTTCATCGGGATAAGCGAATGCTTATCCACCGACCATCGTAATTAGTACTCGATACTATTTGCTTTAAAGACGTTCGATGCAATCATAATTTTACTCAACGATTGATCTTGGTTATTGTGGGATTCTCACATGCACGAGATGATATCATTATTAGATTTAATAAGCAGTTCTTTGCACGAGATATGGAGTATCCATAGAGGTAATGCTAATGAAATGATCATAGGCGTCTAATGCAATTTAAGATTAATTACACTGTATTTATATGCATGCAACGGTAAATTGTCCTTTTGCATTTGATTACTTTGCGAATTACTTAAGAAGAGGTAGTAACTTTAAAAGTTGTTTAAGTATGTAGTTTAAAATTGTAATATATAAAATTTTTAAAACGAATATTAAATAAAATATATTTATTCTATTCAATTGTATTTTATTTAAATGTTTAAATTACACTTTAATGTCGATATAATATATCATATTTTAGTAATTGATATTTTCAATGCGTTTATGTAGGAAATTATCAATGAAATCAACTATTAATGAAAGTGAACATCGTTTATTATAATATCATATAATAAATAATACATAATATTGTTATATGAAATTGATTAATTGGAAATTTTTAAATTATTTTAAAATTATTTTAAAATTATTTTAAAATTAAATTTCATTTGTACACGTTGTTTTTATGATGAAAGCGTCTTAACTTCGTTTTTATTTTCATGTTATATTTAAGTAATATTAAAGTTAATTCAACAAAATTCACATTAAAATCCACGCAATAGAGAATATTATTAAATTTGCTTATTATCCAAGTTTTCCGAAAATCAGCAATCAGCAAAATTCTGATTTTAACTGTTAATAATGAGATATTCATATTCGAAGACAAATTTATGAGAGAAATTTTAGAAACAAAACATCCAAATCGTTATCAAATATCGTTCTCAAAATATTTTAAATACTGTAAAAGCTTCATTTGTTTGAATTCTAATTAGCTTAGCAACCGAACTAATAATACATTCCATATTGCAGTCTAACATTTACGTTAAATCAATAAGAAACAATATTTTTCATAGTTCCCATAATAAAATAATGTTTATTAAATAACAAGTATAGAAATACGTAAAGAACTTGTACTTGAATACATAAATGGATTAATAAATACTCGAGCAAATGGTAAATGAAACTTTAAGACAATTGTCGTTTGGACCTTAGTCTCACTGTATTCACTCCAGTATGAGCGAAATATTCTAGGCGTCTACAAGCTGTGCTCTGATTGTCTAGAGCAAATACTTAAGAAAAAGAAAATTCTCCCACTGCTTTCACTTCTCTGGTGATGATTTATGAAATAATCTGCATTTACTTTAAACTAACTGATTATAGAAATTCAATGTAACCAGTGAATGATTATTCGAGTCAACAAATACGTATTCCAGTTAACTTATGAGAATTAAAATTAAAAGCAGTAAATTCTTTGTATTATTATTTTAAATTTTGTAATAATAATTGGATAGGTGATTTCGCTATTTCTCATTTTATCGTATTCGTGAAAAAATTTTGATTTCATGATTATTAATTTTTGCTATTTTTGTATGAGAATTTTTATATTTATTAGTGTGCATTAATTTATTTATCAATGTATGTTATATAAAAAGTAATTAATGGAGTACGTAGATGTTTTTTTGCACCTCTGACTAAATTGTATATCTAATCAATGGCATTTTAAATATACAAATACATACATAAATTATTTTTCTGTAATTAAATAATTTTTTTTGATAATTTGTATTTAAAACAATTTCTCTCATACATTTGCAATAATAGCATGTAAGATTAATTTTGAAAGAAACAATAATTGATTTTCTTATTGATAATTAAAATATCATGTAAACTGAGAATACATAATATTAAACGTTTATCATTGTTTATGATTTTTCTTATTGTATCGATTCAGCAAAGCAAAAAATGACTGGAATGATATATTCATATTAAGAGCTAAATGCATTTGTTGTAAATAAAATACTTTTCTTATTTTATATTAATTTTAAAGATTTTCTTCGTGATTGTCTTCTATAGATTGTAATAAATTAAATTATTTTTATATTACACGTAATTTAAGTCCTTGTTTTCTCAGTTTTCTTTTTACTGCCTTTCAATATTCAGCCTCGAGATTCCTTTACTATTTATATACATATATTACATACAATTAAAGTATATTTCTATATTTTTTCTGAACATAATAAAGTAGCGATAATGATTGCCTTTAACAAATATTTAATTCATTTAAATTTAATATATGCACATATTACTGATTATTGCTCAAATATTGTAATCGTCGTTATGGATACGTATTGACAATGTCTCTACACTATCTTTTCGTGTAATAACTGTAACTAATTATCGTAAAAAGCATTATAATAAAAATTAAATAGATATTTGGATGAAATTACTTTCAATGTTCATATTTAGTCAAATAATATATAGATATTAATATATATTTATTATTTCTTAATAAAAAATGTGCTTTTAATAATCTTTCATTCTATTAAGATAATAATTGATGAATTAAGATATTTAATATCTTATTTAAGATATCAATCAACAGATTTGAATTCATTAAAAATATAATTCACATAAGAAGAGTATCATTTATTACGATTTAAATAAAAAATGGAGTTTTATATAAATCATAATTGTATTGACAAATTATTAACAAAAATTAAAATCTTGACAAAAAATTATTAATTGATATTAATTTTTTTTGTAATTTTAAAAATCTATTGCTTATTTATATAACAGATAAATATTATTAGAATATATGAATGTACTGACAGATTATGAATTTTATAGCTTATTCTGAGTAGTTTTGTTAACTCATTTTTAAATTATTATTGTAGTTATTTATAAAAACAATGAAAAAATATTAAAATTTGTGGATTATTATTGTATTTATTTATATATATAAATTGGAAACTTTTTAAATATTCTAAAACTCATAATAAATAATTTTATATTAAAATTAATTAACTTTAAAGAGCTTTTACATTTAGAAACTAACTGCTTCCGAGCATAATAATATATATGTGTGTGTGTGTGTGTGTATGAGTTTTCGGTTTTAACTCAATCAAATAATTATCATTATATTTAGATTTAGTATTATACAATTTCGTTAAATGAAAAAGAATTTTCCTAAATAAAATATTGCAATTAATCGTCTTGTAAAATATTTGTATGGCATAATATAATTAATATGTATTTTGTTCGACATTTTTTTAAAATTCTCTTTGATATAAATTGATGATCTAGTTCAATGCTTAATATTCATGGCAAGATGTGTGTTAACATTTGAAACCACCATTTATATACTTCCAAGGATATATACAAATAATTCTTAAACAACAAAATAATAAAACGAAAATAAAAAATGATAAAAAATGTTTTGCAGATCTTTTGATGTTAAATAAAGTCAATTATTAACTGCTGACACGCCAGTCAAGCAATTTATCTTCAATTTTACGCGGTTTATCAATAATTTACTTAAGACCATAAATTTGAAAATAGAGGAAGGTGAGTTTTAAATATGAATGAACTATTTCAGAGCCGAGCAGATCCCACGCAAATTTACTACTCACCCATCAATTAACCCCTGGGATATAGGTATCTCGTGCTAAGAGTGAAAGTGCGATAAGAGACGAGAGGAGGATAATCGAGCGAGATTCGTTGAGAGTGTGCCGAGGTTCCACTTGTAATCGGTTGGCACAAGAAATTGTGCTTGCACCTCTTTCGGAAGCCGCTGCTAACTTTTGCTATTGGCGCTTTTATTACTGACTGAGTGCCTTCGAAGAATTTTTGCCGACAATAATTGCGCTCCATTATAATCAACGGTTGCTCAATGCTTGCGTGGGAGCCGACAAGCCGCTTAACATCGAAGCTGAGGATCGAAATCGATTCGAGACTCAAGGATGAGATATTATTGCCGATCTGTAGTTTTCGATGAATTACTCAAAGATACTTTGGATTAACATAAGTTTCATGAGATTCAGCATACCGATATATGTTGACTCCTTTTGAAGAGTGAAACCTCGCACAAAATGTTATGTAACCTTAGATTTAATATATAACATGGCATTTTGATGCATTTGCTTATGAAGTTCAAGATTTCCTGCCACTTAAGTTCATTTAGCGACTTATTGTAAATCATTGCTTTATTAGATTTTATGACAACTTTAATGACTGTAAAGCAATATTCATAGTCTCAAGTAGAAGTTTTATGCAACATATTTTGCCATTTGCAATTTACTACTCTATACGCTTTTAAAATGCCGCTTAAATTTTATTATTTAGGAAGACTATTTTAACTAATGGTATTCTTTTTAATTTATGTTCTAATAAATAAGATGGTTCATGTATTTACAATAATTTAAGTATTTATAAAATTTTATTATTTAAAGACCTTCCGTATACTTTATTTATTGCAAATATTAATTGGAAGTAAATATTACATCGATGCAAGTAATTAATTCTTGTTCATAAATATCAATCTTCATTTTTATTAAATAGGGATCATTGATACTTGACATAATGATACTTGATAACAAATTATTATCCGGTAGAAAAATTATTTTGTCTTGCAAATTTATATATTTTAATAAATCAATGATGATCATTTTTTTGAACTTTTATTATAATTT